GACTTCTGGCCTCCAGAACTCCAGACAGTGAATTTCTATTGGTTTAAGTCCCTCACATGGCAGTCCCAGGGCATGTGCCTTATGGGGATGTCTGTGGTGAAGCGGCATTGAGGGCAGAGTTCACGCCCCCACCACAATCAGCCTACCCTGCTGCGAGGGAGAGGGAGGGCCCTGTGGGAGAGAAGTCTGTCCTCAGCTGGGCGAAGTCCCACCCCAGGGCCATGTCCTCGGACCTGACATCTCTCTGGAACATTCCTTCCATCAGCATTCAAATTGCGTCCCACCTTTACTGGTGTAAATGTGGCACGTTCAGGTCATCTTGCGCTGTGGCGCTTACTCAACCAACCATTAACCCAAATGTCTACAGGAATAATCACCACCCAACTTTATACATCAAGGCAAAGAAACAGACAGTATGTCCATGCCAAGTTAATGACTTTTGCATTATAATTTTATAATTTTTCACTTTTCCATTTTCTCCTAAATGAGGTTTATTGCTTTGAGCAATATCTTACAGTTAATAGGTGTAGAAGGTACTTTTCTCTTAATGACATTATTACAAATTAGTAAAAAGAGGATGTTTTGTCTTCTGATAAATCTAACGTTTTCCAAAAAAACGCCTGCTGGCTGGGAGCTGATTCGAAGCAAGTTTTCAAGGCACTAATGAATTGGCTGTTTTTCATGTTATCAACCTAGAAAAGTTTAATGAAAAGACTCCTGATCAATACACTTATCACAAGTAAATCAAGCTCACTTTAATTCATTTTACTGCTTTATTTTCACATCAACTAATAACCCAGCTGACGTCTCCCCCATCACTGAAACGTGCTACCAGCACTGTCTTCCTTGTGCTAAAAGTTAAGGAAGCTAGAGAGTTTGCCAAGCACTGGGGAAAAGTTACATTCCTAAGGGTATTACTTTTTTTGTTTCAATATTTGAGTACTTTAAACTTTGAATATAAACTTAATTGTGTCCCCCCAAAATGTGTTGGAATCTTAACCCCTGCACCTATGGAGGAGGCCTGGTGGTGCAGTGGTTAAGAGCTTAGCTATTAACAAACAGGCTGGCAGTTCAAAACCACCAACCACTCCTTGGAAACGCCATGGAGCAGTTCTACTCTGTCCTATAGGGTCACTATGAGTCAGAAAAGACTCGACGGCAATGGGTTGGTTGGCTGGTTGGTATCTACTGACATAATCTTGTTTGGAAATATATTTTTTGTTATGTTAATGAGATCATACCCAAGTAGGGTGGGTTCTAAGTCTAATCACTTGTGAGTTACAGAAAGCGCAGGTTAGACAGAGTCACACACAGGGGAAGGACAGATGCCACATGAGGATGGGCTACAAGCCAGGGAACCAAGGAGTGCTCAGGGTGACCAACAAGGAACTGACATGACTGAGACCTTGATTTGGACTCAGCCTCCAGAACTGTGAGAAAATAAATTTCTGTTCTTTAAAGTCACCTACTTGTGGTATTTCTATTACAACAGCACTAGGTAACTAAATCTTTTTTTTACTTCCACAACAATAAAATTGGTGCAGAAATCAATAATTAAAGAAAATGCTTTGGACATTTTGGAAATCACTTTCAAAAATGAAAACTGAAGCTTTTCAGTCATTAGTTGAAAGATAATAACAACAGTAATAAATGGGCTCCTCTCTGGCCCCACTGAGAATCACCTGAGGGTCCAGAACATTCACACCACCCAGCCTTGAGCTGAGCCAACAGGACCTGAAGACCTGCTCAGGAGGGCTGAGGTCTGCACCCAAACCGCTAGGGGGATCTGTGTTCTGAAACGTGTGTTCCACCTTGTGCACGCGTTGGCACTTTCCTTGAAGCAATTTCAGTTTCCTCTTGGAGACAGGCAGTGGGGTGTCTACCAAGCCTTCTGCATCTTTTTTCATGCCAGGCAGAGTGAAATGTAGCTCTATCTTTTAACTTGAAAGGGTATCTCAACATGCTCCATATCACTGAACCCACAGAAACTCCATGGAGATGGTGTGCCCGAGTTTTTGTGGGGTTCATTTCCCACCCGCTCATCTCCATGTGTCTTCCTGAGGCAGGGTTTCTCAACAACAGCACTACTGACATCTCGGGCTAGGTAATGCTCTGTTGTGGGGGAATGCTTGTGCATCGGAGGATGCTTAACAGCATCCCTGGCTTCTACTCAGTAGATGCTACTAGCAGCCTACCTTCACCAGTCGTGACAACTAAGCCTGGCTCCGGACACTGCGGACATTGCCAAACGTTCCTGAGTGGGCGAAATCAGCCCTAGTTGAGAACCACTGAATTACGGCATCTAGAGTACTAGCTCATCAGATCCAATCAGCAAAACATCATCACTGCAGTGGACCACCAGTCTCTACTTCTTGGTCTGTTGAGGATTTTCTACTTCTTCTGGAGTCAGTTTAGGTCATTTGTGTGTTTGTGAATCTGTCCATTTCATCTACATTATATAATTTATTGGCAAACAACTGTTCACAGTACTGTTTTAAAATTTTCTAATTACATATTTGGTTACGTTGGAATCCTGAGAAGCCAAGGAGACAATGCATTCCTTCAGAAAGAATGTGCGCTTGCTTCTACCAACCTGGACCATGAACTTCTCACCTTCATGTTTTCTGGAACATAGATGGAGTATAAATTCTAACTCCAAACCAGTTTAGGGAAGGGCTACGGCTATGAATTCTCAATTTTCACCATCTCCTTCTCAGCTCTTTTTGGCAGCAGGTAAATTTTCTCTAGCTCACCCTTCCAAAAGAGGGATTTCCCTTCCAAGGTAATTCAAAGGCTTCTGCCATCAGCAGATGCATGGGGCTTTAGAATCTGTGTTCTTGCAACAAACACTGAGCACCTACCATGTACCTGTCCCAGCAGGGAGCAAACAGGTACAAATCTGCCTCACCAGCTGACCCAAGATATGATTCCCACCTCCTCCCCCAACCACCTTAGGGATCTTCCCCTTATGAGCTCAGCTCTGCCTGTAGGAGTATTTTTGGTTTCTCCGGCACTTCTGTGTTTTGTCATACAAGAGTTCTTCAGAATGAGAAGAAATGGCCGTTTTCTTCTCATCATGTCTAACACGTTCACATGCCCAAATTTTCTCAGCTGTTTTGGACAAGAACCACTCACTGTAACAGAGAATAAATGGCAGGAAGGTCACTGTGAAGTAAACGCAGCACACAGAATCGTGAATGCAGGCTAAGGTGTGGAGTGTCACTAGCCTGGAGCATGACTGCTGTGGCCCAGCGACACCCACCAGCCCACGTGAGGCTGGCCGCCTGTCTCCAGGTTGTCGTATATTTTTAATCAGATCCGGGCTGGACGGGAAAGCAGCATCAGCCATGGTCCTCACGGGAATGATCAGTATGATCTTGGGTGCTCCCTAAGCGTGAACCCATGAATCCACTGGGTGCTCAACGGAAGACAGAGCGTCATGGACCTCTTATGGAGAGGTGATGTAATGGTTTCCAAGGTGGCTCCCCCTTCTTAGAAATAGAAACCCTACTTTGTAGCCCATGTTCTATTCTTACTCCCAGATGGAAATGCCCTGGAAAACAAAAGTTACAAACACAATTACAAGTAAGTGAGCAGATGGACCCTTTGTGACTCATGAGCCGCATTTGCTTGTTAGTTGCTGTGGAGTCGAGCTGACTTCCGGTGACTTTACGTACCACAGAACGAGACTTTGCCGTCCTGCGCCATCATCTCTGACATGTCTGAGTCCACTGCTGGGGCCAAGCTGTCAATCCATCTCGTGGAGGGTTTCCCTTGTTTTTGCTGATCCTCCACTTTACCAAACATGAGGTCCCTTTCTAGCGACTGGTCTCTCCTGATGACGTGCCCAAAGTAACCGAGCTGAAGTCTGCCACGCTCACTTGTGACGAGCATTCTGGTTGTGTTTCTGCTCATCTGAACCGTTCATACACCTAAAATCCACATCCGTTACCAAAGAAGTGGAGCACCCGGGGGGTTTCTTCCACGATTTTAACTGGAAAAAACTCACGCTTGGTATAAACTTGTAGGGTAACGCTCTGCCTCTACCCATTAGATTCTACCTCCCCTTTCCACGTTTGGGTTTTTTATTTATACAACTCTGTGGCTGGCTGATCAGTGAACGACGTGTACTGTGGCTGATTGATTCATCCTGTGTATTATGCACTAAAGAAGCACTGGTGGCACAGTGATTAAGCGTTCAGCTGCTAAATGAAAGGTCAGCGGTTCGAACCTACCAGCTGATCCACGGGAGAAAGATGTGGCCGTCTGCTTCTGTAAAGATCACAGACTTGGAAACTCTATGGGGCAGTTCTACTCTGTCCTAGAGGATCGCTATGAGTCAGAATTGACTCGACAGCAATGGGTTTGGTTTGGGTTTTTTATACTTGTGTTAAGCAGCTCTGGTAGCGCAGTGGTTAAAGCGCTTGGCGGCTAACCGAAAGGTCAGCAGTTCAAACCCACCAGCCACTCTGTGGGAGAGAAATGTGGCCATCTGCTTCTGTAAAGATGACAGGCTCGGAAACCCCGTGGGGCAGTTCTGTTCTGTCCTACAGGGTCGCTATGAGTCAGAACGGACGTGACGGCAGTGGGTTTGGTATGGGTATTATGTGTGAAGTTAAAAAACACTCGGGACAACGGTAAATGCTCCCTCAGAGGACTTCAATTCTCTGGTTTTATACGGTCATTTATTAAATTAGGGGCCGAAAAGTAAAAATATATTTAACAATGAAAGAAAAATCTGGACTCTGGACCCCAAAAAATCATCAGAAACACAAAGTTCTGAGAACCACTGCCGCCAAGCCTGCCACAGTGCACGCTCCTCTCGGTGTGCACACAGGCCCCGCTGACCCCGCCGCAGTGCACGCTCCTCTCGGTGTGCACACAGGCCCCGCTGACCCCACCACAGTGCACGCTCCTCTCGGTGTGCACACAGGCCCCGCTGACCCCGCCGCAGTGCACGCTCCTCTCGGTGTGCAGAGGCCCCGCTGACCCCGCCGCAGTGCACGCTCCTCTCGGTGTGCACACAGGCCCAGCTGACCCCGCCGCAGTGCACGCTCCTCTCGGTGTGCACACAGGCCCCGGCGAGCCCGGAGCTGGGGGAGGAAGCACAGCCCAGGCCTTGCCATCTGACCCTCCATCCTCGTGAGCAACCTGATCTTCATCCTTAGATGTGGAAACACGGGCACAGGGCAAGGAGTGGGGTGGCGGGTCTGACCCAATGGGGCCCCGAGTCTGCACCGGCCCCCACTTTCGAAGCTGCGCGACAAGGCAAGCGTCCTGAATGTGACAACCTCTAAGGTGGAAATGACACAGAGCAAACTGGGCCCCAGGCAGGACGGAGGGCCGTGCAGACGGGATGGGGACTGTTCTCAAGACGGCGAGCAGGTGCTGAAGAAGAGCTGTAACGTTCCAATGTGATGAACGAGCGGCTTCACCTGACAAGCTGTGAAACGGAGAGACGGCATAACATGGAGGGAAGCAGCAGCTTGCCTAACTAAGGGCCTCGTAAAACGTGTTCTTTGCTTTATTAGAAAAATAAAGGGTTTGTGAAGGAGAAAAATAAGAGATCACAGTAAGTGCAGAGGTGTCCTGGCACCAAGCCCTCGTCATCCAAACAGAGCCCAGCCAACCAGCACACATTCCTCCCGGATGCTCACAATGGCTTGCCAGGCTGTGGCCTGCACAGTGGCTACTCCCGGGACAGGCCGTCCTCCCGAGCCGCCAGCCCACAGATCACACCACGGGAGCAGAGGGACCACCCGGCCCCCGCCAACACTGAGGCAGAAACCAGGCTGCACCGGACACTCTAGGAACCAATGCCACCACACGGGGCCTCAGCGCCACGAGCTCCCGCTTTGCCGTCACCAAGCAAACAGTCCCATGTTACCACGTTAGCAGGCTCACCTTCAGGGCTATACAGGCACGCCACCAGACAACAGCCTGGAGAATGCCAGCAGGGGATGAGAGGCACTTCACTCTGTCCAGAGTCAGCAGCCTGACTGCTTAGCAGGCATCACCCATCGTCCTCGCCACCGTGTCGGCAAACCTCTAAAAGCCACCGCTCCAGAAAAGCACTCGGTGCGACATTAAGATGGTGCCACCGTTCCACCCTACAGCCGCCACATAATTCTTCAGGCTTACAAAAATCAATATGAACATACAGCTGACCAAAAACACACCCAAAACGTGGCAGAGAGCAGCATCTTCTGGCTGACATGAAAACTTACCCGATATTTTTAGAGGGGAAAAAAGATGGAAATTTAGGCACTAGCTCCCTCGTTCTAAATCACTCACAGAAGCCCGAGCTGCTGGGGTCTCCCTGTACGTCTACACGGGAAGATCCCATGGGGAAACGCTGGGTGTGAGCACTCGGAAGAGAATGACAGTGGCGATTTAATGCAGAACAAACACACCGAAGGCCAGCGAAGACGCCCTGGTCTCCAGTGTGCCCGTGTCTACAGCGCCTCGCTCCAAGAAGCTGCTCACTCTCTGATCTTCACAGCAGGTGAACCCAACCTGGCCCTAAACCAGCTGCCTGTAGCCAGAAAGCTACACGCAGTCCCCAGGCGGTGAGAGGTCGTGCCACCTCTGGCCTCCTGGTAGGGTGTTTAGGTTACTATTCACCACATCTCCGCCCCGGCCACCCGGACGGCGTTTACAGCGCGGTGCACAGTGGTCACGCAGGGAACATCAGTAGTGGGCCACCAGAGCCTAAACCCTTGAACAGACAAATGCTAGACACTCGACTACTCCCTACCCGACCTTCCGGTAATACCGATAGCAGGGAGGCCCCCGGGGTAACGGCTCAGGGGTCAAGGAAGCACAGCGCCGCAGCACACAGCAGCTCACCGTGCACGAGGCTGCCTCTGACACATGCTGACTCGCAGGGGCCGAGTCAGCACTCTGCCCACCCACTGCTTGCACGCTCAGACGCGCAACCACTTGTGCTCGCTGAGGTCTGCACTGGGACTCGGCCAGACAGGGAGAGGATGCCAGGCACGGGCCTGATATTGCCGAGGAAACATGGCGGCTTCGCCACAAAGCCTGCGACTGCTCAGCTCAGCAAGGACAAGAAGACACAGGGTAGAGTCCAGACCCATGAACACGGAAAACGAGGGAAGGACGTGGGTTCCAGTTTGAAAGTTCTACAAGTGACCTCAAGCCAGCTGCTAAGGATTCTGTGTGTCTCAAATTAATAGGTCTGTCCCACTAAGTCAGACACTTAAATGCCATTCACCAAGTCAGAAGGATGCGCACATGTCCCAGTACCCTCAGGGACAGGAGCCGCCACAGGGTGCCAGGAGGGGAGCAGAAACATGAGTCCGTGCGCAGCACAATGCCATATTACACATCTACTTGCCCGGCGACGGAAGAGGAGAAAAAGCCTGCCCACCCCTGCCTCCCTGGACTGATGGCAGGGCTTGGCCGCCAGGGGCCGAGACCCCACATGCATTCGGCAGGCCAGGGCTGGCGGCAGAAGGACCCCGGGAAGGGTACACACGGTGATCATCACTGATCTTGTGGGACAGTCTCCGGGGGCTCTGGGTTGGCAAGTGCAGAGCAGGGGGCCGCAGGGTGGCAGGGGGCCACAGGGGGCTGTTGGGGGCAGCAGCCCTAGGACTCCTCGCCCATCTGCAGCAGGGAGTTGATAGCTGCATCCTTACTCCCCCGCTGGGCCTCTAGCACAGAGCGGATCACCTCCTTGTCCATGTTGGGGAACATGTCCTGGATGGCTTTCAGATCTTCCTCGTTCCAGCGGGGCTGGACGGGCACGGCAGGCGGGGGCATGGCCACAGGCACCATGCCGGGGCTGCAGACAGTGGGCATCCCTGCGGGCAGAAGGGCAGCAACATCAGAGCGTCAGATGGTGCAAGGGTGCCGCGCTACCCTGGCTGAGGAAGAGAACGGCGCCAGCGGGCGCCCTGAGGGACGGGGAGACACTCAGGTCTCGCGTGACCCCAGATGCTGCAGGGACAGCTACTGCACAGACGCGGGGGTGGGGGTGGCGCCCCCGCCTTCCTGAAGCTCCCACTCTATCCACCCGCCCCCCTTCTGTGCCCCATCTCAGAGCTCGCGAGCCTACTCGGCAGTCACCACGGAGGGAACATAAAAACAAGTGGTGGCACGTTCTGTTCCTAAGAACTCACGGATTTACGTCATTTACGTCACAGAGGTTAACCTGTACTAACCAAAGGCCACAAAATCGTTCTCTTCAACTGAGAACGGCACAGCAGACACACGGCCACGCTACTGTCCAGATCTGAGACTCTCCATCTCTTCTATCCTGCGTCCTGGAACACACATCTGCAGCGTGGCAAACACATCACTAGAACCTTATTTTGACGAAGAAAGAAAAACCACAGCAAGCCACATAGATACCTCAACAGGGCCGCACACTGACGTCTGCAGTGAACACAACACACGTTTTTAAAAAACCCCAAACAAGTAACTGCTGATGAGAAGGCCTGCTGCCCGGGGACGGAGCACGTGGGCAAGGCAGGTCCCAGCAGTGTCTGCAGGAGCCGCCGGGGCACGATCCCCGCAGGCTCGGTCCTGCCCACCACACCTGGGCTCCTTCTGCATCTGCTAGCGCCAATCATGTGCTCCTCTCCTGTCTGGGAGACGCGGATGACAAGCCGAGACTGGAGGTGGAGACGCTGATGACAAGCTGAGACTGGAGGTGGAGATCAGAGGCCTACAGGAGAAAACTCCCACTGTGGGAGACACAACCCGTCTCTGTGTCTCTGGTGCTGCCACCTCCCAAGTCAGAGGCCCAGCTCATCCACACGGCACTGCGCTGGTGAAGCCCAAACAGACAGACAGCACAAAAAGTACTGGCAAGACACAGTGGGCAACAGACTGCAGAATCCCCACTTACATCTCTTCAAACAGCTAGACAAGATCGAAAAACCCTCAATTCTCTAAACTTTGAAAGCACTATAAGTCCCACCGAGTAGGCCCGAGGAATCATCAGATCACAAAATCATTTCACGGTATGATTATTTTTCAAGTTCAGAAGATCCCAAAGGCAGCTGTAGCCCGCCTCTCACACTGGGCTAAACGCAAACTGTCAAAATGTCCCAGAGTCTTAAAAGCTTGCAAGCGGCCATCTAAGATGCATCAATTGGTCCCAACCACTTGGAGTAAAGGAGAACGAAGAACACCAAAAACACAAGGAAAGTAATGGCCCAAGAGACAGAATGGGCCACATAAACCAGAGACTTCATCAGCCTGCGACCAGAAGAACTAGATGGTGCCCGGCTACCACCAATGAACATCCTGACAGGGAACACAACAGAGGGTCCCTGATGGAGCAGTAGAACGATGGGATGCAGAACTCAAATACTAGGAAGAAGACCAGACTTAATGGTCTGACTGGGACTGGAGGTGGCCCGGAAAGCATGGCCCCTGGTCTCTCCATCACCCCAGAACTAAAACAATTTCTGAGGCCAACTCTTCAGACAGGGATTGGACTGGACTGTGGGACATAAAGTGATACTTGTGAAGAATACGCCTCTTAGTCGAATAGATACAAGAGACCGAAGGGGCAGCTTCTGTCCAGAGGTTAGAGTGGAAGGCAGAGAAAGGAGCTGGTTGAATGTTCATGGGGAATCAGGGGCGGAGGGGAGGAGTGTGTGTCACAGAATGGGGTGAGCTGTTGGGGTCTCGTAACAATGTATGTTAAAAAAAAAAAATCCTGTATGAGATACTAACTTGAAATGTAAACTTCATTAAATTACATCAATTGGAAAAAAAAAAAATAAAGAATGCCCCAGAGACGCTGGAAGGCAGGTGAGGGCTGGTACAGCCGCAGGCGCAGACACTCCTGGCAAAGGCCAGCAGGCTTCTGAGGTGCCTACACTTTGCCCTCACCAAGGAAATGCCACAGGAAGGGTGCCAGGTCTCAGTGCAGGGGGAACACTGGGCTCTCCTGGACCACTGTGCCCAGGGCTCACTCTGCGTCTACTTTCCCCACTGCTGGGAAGCGCCGCTGTGCACACCTACCCAGCTTTATGGGCGTTTATGGTGGAGGGAGGGCGGGGTGAGCATTAAGACCCGAAAGCTCAAAGGCACAAAAGCTACAGCCTGTCTGATTTTGCTGTGCTGCCACACACTGCGAATTCATAAAGGTCCGTAATTTATAAAGGCAAACACGCGACAAACTACCATGTTCAAGCCCCCATCTGCTTTACCAAACAGGAACGTGACCTTTTCTTATGCTAACTCAGGCGCTGGAATGTTCAGAAACTACATGTTTGTATCTCCAAGAATTTCAACTCAGCTCATTTGTGCTAACAATTCTGACTTCTACATACGCACACAGCGTTCAGAGCTGGCCCCGGACTCTCTTGCTGCTGGGAGGACCTGGGTGAAAAGCCAGCATGTCACAGGGTTTTCAGAGTGGCTCAATCTCTGCCCCACTCCTCTCCTCTCACGCCACGACCTCGGGGGTCACCTCGTTCAAGATGCTCATGGGGGTGGCCACCCACCTGTGATGGGGACGTAGCCGACACCCTGCTGGTACACGGTGGGCATCAGGACCACGGGCTGTGGCGGCATCATCATGGCGGCTGGCAGCGGCTGAAACATACACGGCCCCCAGTCACAGGATAACCCACCACGAACCCAAGCCTCGTCCCTCCCTGTCTCACCCAAATGTCACACGAGGGACATGGGGCTGCCAGCTCGGGCTCCAAGACGGACAGCGCAGTCTCCTCTTCTGTTCTGTGTCCACCCACTCTGTGGACGCCCCACTGAGGAGCCAGGGAGGGAACAGAGCTGGTCACTAAGCTCCCCGCCCCGAGACCCCACCCACCCTGCTGGCTCTGGGGCCGGCTCAGCTCTGCTCTGACGCGGGGCCTACAGTTACTCCATGTTTATAACGACGTCTGTCTAAACGATTAAAAGTTAACACAAGCCACCAACGAGGTCTGTGTCAACACCTCCTTTAAAAGCCGTCTGTGTGCTGTTAAAACATGCAAACCACTCGATAAAGAAAAACGTTCAATCTGAATCAACTTCTCTTTAAAGAACCAATTTCATTTTTTAGAAGTGGCTACGTGTGAGCTGCAGTTTGGAAAACACTGATGTGGAGTAATGTTATGTGATGCAGGTTCCTTCTTACGGGAATTAAGAATTTTCAGGCAACGACCAGAACAAGAGCCAGACATGAGAAGAGCCCGCTCCTCATGGAGCCCGTGGTGTTTCCCGCGCTGGGGGCAGCACGGCCAGCACCAGGGGTTCTGCCACCACACACCCTCTCCCTGGCTCCCCTCGCCCCACGGCCTCACCGTGTACGACAGGACCAGGTTGATCATGCCCTCCTTGTCGTCACCCTGCCGCCCGCTGAGGCTGTACCACTCATCCTCCACACAGCCCTGCTTGAGGGACTCGGGGATGGTGACATGGGTCCAGGCGATGCGGTCGTCCATGGAGAAGGCTCGCTGCGGAGGGGGGGAGCAGTGCTTTGCTGCGTATCCTCAGACAGCCCTGACCCTCCCAGCTCCTCGTGGCCTCCTGAGCCCCGTCTCCCA